AAAACCCCCACTTTGTGGGGGGGCCGGTTCAAGCTCTACCAAATTTCCAAACGACTCTTCGCCACCACCCACACCCAGCTTCCCGCCCTATGACGTTCGGACACTTCACTTCGTGGCATGCGGACGACCGTGGCTACTATTCAGGGCCCCGCGGCCGACGACGACGGCGTGCGCGCGCGAAGAAAAAACGAATGTGTCCCGCATGGTATTATTTGACAGGGATGATGGCCCTGGCAGGTGCGCAACCGTTGTTGCAGAAGTTCGAAAAAAGTTGCTCGCAAAAGCCCGTTTGACAGAAATGATAAAAAGTGTTGGGTTTCCTACGAATCCGCAAGAGCGCGCGGGATGAAATTTTGACAATTTTTTTTGAAAAACCATTGGTTTTTTGATGTTTTTATGTTAAAATCGCTACGAAAAACTAAGGTTTTGGAAGGATTTCGTCTTGCGCGCGCGAATGTCCACTTTACCTTATTTTTTGCAAGGGATTCTTGAAGTTTGGTTATGTTAGAACAAGAAATGTCCACTTTAGCTTTTTTTTGCAAGGGAAAGCGATCGTAACAAAACAACCGGATCCGGACTCCCCCGTTTTGCCTGAGACTTCCTCACGAAAATGATGAAAATGAGGCTGGCGCCTGGGCGCGGCGGGGGGGTCGGCACCAGGGGCCCCAACAATAATTATTCTTTAGAAGTAATAATGTTCAACAACAACAACAACAACAACAACAACAACAACCACAACACAACCACAACCACAATCACAATCACAACCACAACCACAACCACAACCACAACACAACAACAACAACAATTTTAAGACTGTTCGCCCTTATATGCTCGAGTGTCCAATAACGCGTATTTCCCAAACCCTCGATACCCGCCCTCTTCGTCTTCGATCGAACCCCTTTTGGGGGGTATACCTTTCTTCCCTGCAGGCCGGGCCCCGGCAAGCGGCGGGGCGGCCGCGGACCGTCGGCCTGGCCAGCGGCAGCGCTGATCGGCGGGGCGGCCGCGGACCGTCGACCCGACCCCAAGAGGGACGGACAGGGGACCGACCACGACGACGCCGACCACGACGACGACGACGACGACGACGACGACGACGACGTCGAAGACGACGGCGACGACGACGACGACGGCGACGACGAGCGAAAGCGAGAGCGAGAGAGAACGACAGCAGGGCACGAAGGGCACGAAGTAGGCCACGGAGGGCGACAGCGGGGACACGAAGGGAATGGGGCCACGAAGAGCGCGAACGAGCGGGGCCACGAAGTGCAGATAATGCGGGGCCACAGAAGGCAACTATGGGGCCACTGAGGGTAGCAACTGGGCCACGTAGGACAGTGAGGGGGACACAAATGGCGACAGCGGGGCCACGAAGGGCATGCACATGGGGCCACAACGGGCGCGACTCCTGGGTGCCTGGGTGTCGGGAGCGCGGCGCTTGGGCAAATTGCAAGAAATTCCAACGCAAGGCCATTCTTCAGTAAGTTGCAAGCAAGTCTCCAGCGAGAGCGCGACTCCAGAGCGCCGGGAGAGCGATTCCTTAATAAATTGTAAGGACGTCCCAAGCGAAAGCGCGATTCCTGAGTAAAATGCGAGGAAGTCTCGGGCGGGAGGGGGGGGCCCTGGCTAAATTGTAAGGAAGCCTCAGGCGGGAGCCGTTGTTGTTGTTGTAACCCGGGGGCCAGGGGCCCAGTTTGAGCAGGAAGACTTTCCCTGTCAAAAAACAGGGTGCGAGCGTCGAGGGGCACATTTTGATTAAGAAAAAACAGTATGCACCGGTGGGGGGATCAACAATAATTGTTTTCCAGAAATGAGAGTTGACCAACAACAACAAGAACAACAACAACAACAACAACAACAACAACAACAGCAGCAGCAGCAACAACAACAACACCAGCAGCAGCAGCAGCAGCAGCAGCAACAACAACAACAACAAAAACGTGCCCCGCGCGCACGCGCCATGCGCATGTTGGGCCCCCCTTTTGCGGACGCAGTTCCACGTGCAAAGAGTTCGCCACCGAAGTTGGGTACCCTTGGGGACCCCGTGGACACGTCAAAACACGTGCCCCCCCGCGAGCGCGCGCCGGGGGCATGCTGGGTCCCCTTTCCTCCGTGCATGCACTCCTGTATGTTGAGAATTCGGCACCTGCCAGTTGGGCCCCCTCCTCCTTCTCCTCCTTCTCCTCCTCCTCATCATCATCATCATCCTCGTCCTCATCCTCATCCTCATCCTCCTTCTCCTCCTCCTCATCCTCCTCCTCCTCTTCCTCTTCCTCCTCCTCCCCTCCGTGCATGTATTTCTGCATGTTGAGAATTCGGCACCTGCCAGTTGGGTCCCTCGCTTGCGGCCCCGTCGTGGCCCGAAACGCGCGAAAACACATGCCGAGCGCACGCGTGCCGAGACTCATGTTGGAGACCCCCCCCGTCGCACACGTACCTTTGCGTGTCCAACTCCGGCGCCACTGCTCGACATCCTTCTGGTACAGGGCCTTTGGCCCGCAAACTGAAAGAGAACCCTGGGCCGGAGCCCCTACCGGGAAAACATTGAAACCTTACCAGACAAACGCAAGGCATTCTAGCGCGCCCCAACTTGCCGATTGCACGGTGGCGGATCAAGGTTTGTACCTGAGAAGGCTTCGGTCGACCAAGGTCAAAGTCTTATTTTGTGTGGGAGGATGTGACAATATTGTAGACAATGTGAGCAGAGTGCGGAGCAGATCCCTTTTCGTATTCCCAGGTATGGTTAATGAGCACGGTACTTTGAGTTTTTATGCCAGCAACGGCATGCGCAACAGAGGTGAGGCCGAGTATGTTGAAGAGTCGACGACGGGCCCAATCATCTTGCCGCCGGACGGGCCCATCCATGGCTACCTGTATGTCTGCAAGGACGGCGTAGATGAGACCAGTGAGGCGCCAGAGATTTGGGGCCGCGTTCGTCTTGCTAAGTCCTTTGACGATAGTAGGTGGACGAGCCCCGCCTGGAAGACTATGCGGGTCGACATCTCAGCCGCCGATTTGGAGCCGTCGGACTTCGACAACACTTTCGCTGGCTACATACTGGCCAAGGCAGTGATGTTCACTGGAGAGGAGAAAGACTCCGCCGAGAAGCCAACGCCAGCTCCAGTGATTGCCACGACTCCACCGGCAGAAGCGCTACCACAGCCACCACCGCCGCAGAAGCCCTCGCAGCAGGCCATCGCAGCGGATTCCGAGGAAGGGAACGGGAACTGGGTGCCGCCATCGCAGCCTGCACTGGACACAGTGAAGGTGCTCGTCGAGGAAGATGCGCAGGAGTTCATTGGGGCGTCGGGCTGGTGTGGGGCGATGTCGCCGTCAATTCTCAAGCACACGCCCAAGGTCGCAATCAAAGCGAGGGATGGGAACGCACCGAAGCCAATGTTTTGTCACATTGACTTGCTGGCCGCTAGAAGACTTTTGCCGTTGGGTGCAATAAATGACTGCAAGATTTCATTCAGACTCCAAGCTTGCAACACGGTTGTGGATGTCGATGGCATCGAGCAGTCTCCAAACCCAGGGTTTACGTGTCGCTACGAGCTCAAGGTGGATGACTGGACCTTGGCCGGCTTGCCAGTGCCTCCCGTTCAAATTTTTGTCAGGAAAGTAATAGCGTCAACGTTTGGAAAGCGTGAGGAGGTGGTGTGCTGTTTTGGGATCAAGACGAGGAATATGGACCAAATAACCAGTACGGGTAATAAGTACATTAATCCAAACGAAGCGCACGTAGCAACATGGCGCTCCCTCGACGGCAGGTACAAGCAGCAGTTCAATCCAGGAGATGGGAGCGTGTCGGAATTTTGGAAGGGACGCCCACGGATGCTGGTTGCCGCGGGTTTTTCCGTCAACCCCGCAGACCCTGCAACAGTCCTGCCGGCTGACAAAGAATATGACGGCATCCCAAAGATAGCGACTCCAGAGAGCAGGCAGTACCAGGTCGAATTGTCGTTGCTGGGCCTCCGTGACCTGAAAGACCATCTCGGCGAACCCCTCATGTCACCAGATTGCTACCTCCAGATCAAGACGTGGTCGGAGGACCCAAAGACGACATGCAGGTTGGAGCTGCTTGAACCTGGACGACCCTCGGAGCTTCCAAACCCGACCTTCCGCACGGCGAAGGTCAGCAAGAAGTATTTTGAGATAGAGGCGAAGGTCGAGAAAATGTACGACAGCCTGCTTGGTGCTGGCGGACACGACTTCTTGGGTCAGAGGATGACTCTGCCCACGTACAGCTGCCCAGTCATCCCGTACTTGCAGATACGCGGACAGGCGGGCGCCCCAGCGAATGGAGATGTCGATTGCATTGTGTTGCTGAATGACGTCCTCTTCCAGGTAATGCATCCTGATGGTGTGAAGGCCGCGGCGTCAGTAACATTACCGCTATCTAGAATGACGACAAAAAGGATGAACACAAGTTTTCGGAGGTCCGCGCGGATTTTGGGACTCGGCGCTCGAATCCTTGGCGCGTGTTCCGCGACAGGAGCACCGCCGGGGGGGTCCAGCGCCAACCCAAGAAGCCCGCGTGGACCTCGGAAAGCTCATGTTTGTATATTTGTCTGCTCTTCTACCATCGACCCTGGCTAAGTCGGACATGGATCCGCCAAAATAGAGCGAGCGCGCAGCAAACCAGTTCTCGCAGGACAGCAGGGCTGGACCTAAACGGCGTTTTGGCGATTTCGTGGGCCGTTTTCGTTTCGATTCCGTTTTGCGGCAAGGCGGACTGAAGACAAAACGAGGGAAAACGAAAGCAAAACGAATGCGAAAAATACCGCTTAGGTTCAGCCCTGGAGGACAGCATCGTCCCTCAGATCGACTGTATCGAGCCGGAGCAGGAGCAGGACCCCGTCTTCTCCTTCGCCGTCGACGTGTTCGCCTGCACGGACGGCTACCTGCTCTTCGATCCAGACGTGCAGGTTGGCCGGCCCCTCGCGCGCAACACCCTGTTCCGGATCTGGCAGGTGGAGCCTTCGGATCAGGGAGCCATGAGCAAAGAGGAGATCAGGAGGGAAAGAAACACACAGACACAATGAAATGTCGATTCCCCAGAAAATATTTGAAAATATAGGAAGTGGGGGGGGGGGAAGACGAAAACCCAGAAAATACCAGAAAATATGGGACATATTTTCATTTGTGTGTATTTATTTGCGTGTCCTTGGGCCCCTTCAGAGGAGAGGGACAAAGAAGTGGAAAACATGAAGGCCCAGACATTCAATCCCGCGGACACCTCCAGCGCCAAGCTGAGGACGAAGATTGGACCATACGACAGCAGGTTCGTCCCGATCCTGAGGAACGCCAAATGGACCAGCAAGGGCGTTTGGGTTTCTTCGCCAGTCACGGCCCTGAGCACGAAGGCAGAGGAAGGATCGACGACGTTGAGCCTCAAGGAGGAGGAGGAGGAGGAGGCGCGCAAGGAATGGAAAGGGAAAAGGATACAAATCATCCTTCCGTCTGGCGTACGGCACGCTTACAGCGTCGTGTCGAACAGTGCCAAAGTGCTCACGGTCGAGCCCCCGCTTCAGAGGAGTTACGATGCAGGTTGGGAAGTCCGGATCTGCGCGAGGAGCAGGGACATGAAGACCGACTGCACGTAAGAGTGACCCTTCGCCGGGGTGACCTCTGATGCGGGCCCATTGGGCCCCCCGATCGCGGAACGCGATGCGGTGTGCGCGCTTGTGTTTGGTCCCCCCGCGGCCCCCAAAAGGGCGGCACCAGAGGTCAGTCCTACTCAGGGTCACTCTAGCGTGTAATCGAGAGGATGCCCTTGAGGCCAGAGATGCTATTTCATCAAGTCACCAGCAAGGGCGTGGCGAAACTGGAGAGCATCGAGAGAGACCGCTTGATGGATCTGAAGGCCCATTGCCTGGAGCGTGGCTACCATGTGAGCACACGCCTCGCGGCGCCAGATCCAGTGAATCCGAGGAAAGAAACAGGTGCACAGAAGAGCCACAGAAAAGAGTGCAACTCGCATACCTTCCTACGTGACGTTGGGCATGTCGTGAAGCCGTGGGAGCGGCAGACGACCGTGTTGGCCCGGCTCTGCATGGGGCCGGGAAGGGATGTCCTTCCGCAAGGCCAGACGCACAGCTTCCTCGTGGTGAAGTGCAACAAGCCGGCGGTTGTCGTCTGGGCGCCTTCGGAGGCGAAAAGCGAGTTCAAGCATCCGGGGGAGCTCCTCTTCATTGTCCGGCTGCTCGACGACACTGCGAGGCTCGCCGAAGTGACCGTGCCGTCTTTTGACATCCGTTTCAGTAATGAGACTACCTGGGTTTTGAAGAAGACGCTTGCCAGCGACATGGGGCGCGTGAATCGCAAGATCCTGCCCAAGGTCGTACAGCAGAAGGCCAGAATCAAGGCGCCAGAGCCGCAGGTAATTGGGAAGCGCGCTGATAAGACAATTCCGGCGGTCAACGATGACTCAGAAGGTGAGGACGAAAATGGTGAGGATTCTGGCGATGAGAGTGTCGGCGATGAGAATGTTCAAGAAGCGGCCCACGAACCCATCGACAAAAACGCTTGGAAGTACAATTCGAATACTGATGGCTACACCCACGGGATTCCGATTGCCCAGTGGGCATTCGTTTGCAGGTTCGAGAAGAAAGGGCTAAACATTTACAATCGGAGGCAGACTGATTCCTCTCGCTTCGCGGGGTGCATGTCCGGAGCGAGTAAAGCGCGGACGCTGCGGCCCCATTTGGTGGCAGGAGCAGGGGCCTTTTGGAGGTCTGGGATCCGTTGCAGGGCCACGTGCAGGCCCGGGAGGGGCTTGTTGGTGGCCGTCTTGGGAGGGAGGGCTCCCTGGGCCCCTTAAATGTCCCGATCTTGTGCCGGTCTTGTGGGCCTTTTAGACATCTTGGGTCGCCTGGGGAGGCTCTTGGGGCTTTCTTGGGGCACGATCAGGCCGTCTTGGACTTTCTGACGCTACCGGGCGACGCACCCAACCCATCCAAATCAATTCCCAAGATTCGTGAGCTCATCCCAAAGCGCCAAAACGGGTGATGATGATGATGATGATGATGATGATGATGATGATGATGATGATGATGATGATGATGGTGGTGGTGGTGGTGGTGGTAGTGGTGATGGTGATGGTGATGGTTCTGGTGATGGTGATGGTGATGGTGATGGTGATGGTGATGGTGATGGTGTTGGCGATGATGATGATGATGATGATGTTGATGATGATGATGATGATGATGCTGATGATGATGATGATGATGATGATGATGATGATGATCATGATGATGATGATGATGATGATGATGATGATGATGATGATGATGATGATTGATGATATGAAGGCCACCAGAGGAGCATACGCGTTGCACGCCCCACGAGATTGACTTAAGGCAGCAGCGAGTATTGCGACAGGGGAGCAGGCGAATCGACGACGACAGCGAAGAAATGGAAGTACGTCAAGAGAGCATCGGGGAAGCATTTGGGCGAAGACGAAAAAAATGACAAGATGGGCAGAGAGAGAGTGAGAGAGAGGGGAGCATAGCAAATCAGAGCAGAGCAGAGCAGAGCACAAAAAGGAGCCAGAGAGAGAGAGATCAACACATATATATATATATATATATATATACATATATACACATATGATTAGATGTATATGTTTATAAACACACACACATATATATACATCTGTATATGTAGATATACATATATGTATACATACATACGCGTGTATGTATGCATATATGTACGTATGCATGTCTGTATGTATGCATGTATGGATATATGCATGTACGTATATATATATGTATATGTGTATGTATGCATGCATGTTTGCAGTAGATATACACATATATATATACATATACTTATATCACAATTATCCCAGAGCGACCCTACCTAGGAGTTGGAGCCCCGAGGAGAGCAATATGAGTAGTAACGGTAAACGCAGTCCTCCTCCTTCTCCTCATCGGCACCTGTCGCACATTGCTTTTGCTTTGCCTTTCCTTTGCTTTGCTATTGCTTTTGCTTTGCTTTGCTTTGCGTTGCTTGTGCTTTGCTTTGCTGTTGTTGCTGTTGATTTGCCGTGGCTTTGATGCTAGGTTATGCTATGCTATGCTATGATGCGCTATGCTATGCTATGCTATGCTGCGCTATGCTATGCTATGCAATGCTAGGGTATGCTAGGCTGCGCTATGTTATGCTATGCTATGCTATGATGCGCTATGCTATGCTATGATATGTTATGTTATGCTGCGCTATGCTATGCTATGTTATGCTATGCTGCGCTATGCTATACTATGATATGTTATGGTGTGCTATGCTATGTTATGCTATGCTACCCTATGCTATGCTATGCTATGTTATGCTATATTGCGCTATGCTATGATATGTTATGCTGCGCTATGTTATGCTATGCTAAGCTAAGCTATGCTAATGCTGCGCTAAGCTGAGCTAAGCTAAACTAAGCTAAGCTAGGCTAGGCTAGGCTAAGCTAAGCTAGGCTAGGCTAGGCTAGGTTAGGCTAAGCTAAGCTAGGCTAAGCTAAGCTAAGCTAGGTTAAGCTAGGCTAAGCTAAGATGAGATAAGCAACGCTGGGCTAAGGGAACGTCACTGGGGGAACCGCGGGGCGGATCCTGGGGGAACCGCCCGGGGCGTTTTGCACTGCCCGGCCCCTTTAAGCAAACACAGTAAGAACCCTTCTAGGCAGAGCCTAGGTAAGGAATAATAGCCGTAGTAATAATAACAATACTATCAATACTAGTAATAATGAAACTACTAATCATACTAATGGTATACACATATAAACATGTATGTATACATACACACATATATATACACATACGTTCATATACATATGTGTTTCTAGTATATAGATAGATAGATCGATAGATAGATCCCCCCGCGCACGAGGCACGGGGGCCCGGGGCCCGGGCCCCGAGCGCGCATGAGAGGACGGGGGCCTCCGAGACCGCTCCCAGAGCAACCTGGAGGGGCCGTGGAGCCCCCAGACGCCCTAGAGAGCTCCAAGACGCTCCCTGAAGCCCCCTGGGGACTTCGACAAGCCCCTCCAAGACAGCCCAGATAGCCCCAACGTGGCCCAAGATGGGCTGCAGACCGCAAGTACAAGAGGCCTCCAAGAGGCCTCAAGAGAGCTCCGAGAGGCGTCCCGAGAGAGCCCGAAGAGGCCGAAACCTTTTTGATTTCTGGTTGTTTTTGTTACATGTTTTTCGGTGTCTCGCGTTTTCGACCTGCCGACGCTCCAAGACGGCCGACGACGCCCCCAAGACCGCCCCAAGACCGCCGAAGAGGCCCCCAAAAGAGCCCCAAAACGGCCCCAGGGAGACCGAAAATTGCCCAGGAGAAGCCTCAGACGGCCCAAGAGAGCCCCAGGACAGACCCAATCTGGGCCGTAGAGCGGGAGCGTGAGGCCCCAGGGCGCTCTAAGACGGCCCAGATGGCCCCAACGTGCCCGCAGATGAGCCCAACACTGCCAATACACAGCCCAAGAGGCTTCTAAGAGGCCCCAAGAGAGCTCCGAGATGCGTCCCGAGAGAGCCCGAAGAGGCCCACATCCGTGATTTCCGTTGTTTTTTCCAATGTTTTTCGCATTTTCGCGTTTTCGAGTCTCCAACGCTCCAAGACGGCCGAAGACTCCCCGAAAATCGCCCCAAGACCGCCGAAGAGGCCCCCAAAAGAGCCCCAAGACGGCCCCAGAGAGCCTGAAGACTGCCCAAGACTGCCCAAGAGAACCCCAGGAGAGGCACAAGATGGGCTCCAGAGCGGAGCGTGAGGCCCCAAGGCGCTCCAGGACGGCCTAGATGATGCCAACGTGGCCCAAGACAAGCTCAAGACGGCAAACACAGCCCAAGCCCAAGAGAGCTCCGAGAGACGTCCCGAGAGAGCCCAGCGAGGCCCACATCATTGGTTCGCATTGGTTTTTGTATGTTTTTCGCTTTCTCGCGTTCTCGAGTTTCCTATGTTCGAAGACGGCCCCAAAAGAGCCCCAAAACGGCTCCAGAGTGCCTGCCAATTGCCCGTGAGGAGCCCCAGACGGCCCAAGAGGCCCCACGACAGGCCCAAGATAGACCACAGAGCGGGAGCGGGAGGCCCCAGGGCGCTCGAAGACGGCCCAGATGGCCCGGGCCTCCCCCCTCCGTCCCTCCTTCCCTCCCGCCCCCTCCCCTTGCCTCCATTCCCTCCTCTCTCCTCTTCCTCCCCCAGCTTTCGTGCTCCTCCCTCCTCTCCTGGGACGGCCCCGCCAGAGCGCCAGACAGGCCCCGCCAGAGCGAGCGGGGCATCGCTACGCCCTATCATTTCACAACTTCCGGCAGAGCGAGAGGGGTGCTGTTATACCATGTACAGTCCCTGTTTTGTCTTGCCCCTCCCACCGCACCCGAGGTAGCCCCGTCAGAGCGCACGGGGTGTGGCCATACCATAATGTTCTTCCGGTTTCGTGTTCCTCCTTCCCCTCCTGGGCAAGCCCCGCCAGAGCGCCAGGGAAACCCCCACCAGAGAGAGCAGGGCACCACTACACCAGACTCTTTCAAGCGATTCTTGCTCCTCCCACCCTTGCAGGGCGAACCCGCCCGAGCGAGCGGGTTTGGGCTATACTATACAATTTCTCTGGTTTCGTGCCCCTCCCTCACCTCATGAAAGGCCTCGCCAGAGCGCCAAGAAGGTACCGCCAGATGCCCCGTCAGAGCTCCAGGCAAACCCATACCTGGGATTTGCCAGGCAAATCGTTGAGCACCCCCCTGTGAGCCCACGGGTGCGATTATCGCCGGCATGAAGGTTGGCGTCCAACACGAAGAAGCTTCCCCTCTCCCGTGGACGTATTCGACAACAACTGATTGCAGAGAAGGGCATTGATGACCGGGACATCTGCGCGCGCCCTCTGCAGATACCCGACAGCTGAACGACCGCTGAAAACGAGAAGCCTGGAGCACAAGGAAGAGGAAAACAGCAACGCGCCTATCATGCACGAGCAACGAGGCCCCGAGCCAACCCCAACATCAGGAGCTGGCGGATGTCTGCGTGACCGGGCATGGGGAGACCGAGCAGATGTGCAAAAACACGGCGCTAAGCGGAATTGACAGTGGATAAATAAACGCAGTTCGATAAACCAAACAAAGGCGGCAGCGAGGTTGTGAGATACGCGGGGACGTGGCGCCCCGCGTTCTATATATATATATATATATATATATATATTGTAATATTTAAGATGTGTGTTCTTGGCCCTCGTTCCTAGCGTACCGTTCTTGTCTACAGCACAAATGCGACTGCATCTGTTTTGGCTCAAGCTTCTCAGGCATGCTCCCAGGGGGTCTCTTGGGGCTTGCTCGTGATTTTCTCCCAGCAGCCCTCCACTTCCGAATTTCGTGGTTGGCTGCAAGCTGCCCCACGTGCCCTTCGGTCTCCTGCCCATCAGTGACGTTGCCGAGCTGCCCAGGCCTGCAGTGCGGCGACTGCCATTGCCCGGAGGGGCATGCCACCTCGCTGCTCTGGGCTAGCGCGGCGGTGGCCTTGTGCTCGGCGGGCGCTGGGTTGGCCGTGGGCTGCGCGGGCGGCAGCGTGCTGGGGTGCGCGCGCCAGGCCGCGGGGGCGGCTTGGGAGTGCCCGGGTGGCCCCGGCGGCGGCGGCGAGGAGCCAGCCTCCTCGGCCCGAGGGGCAGGAGGCCGCTCCGCCAAGGCCGCCGCGCTCCCAGCGCCGGGCGGGCCCGCGGGGCCATCCGTGACGACCGCGGCGACGACGCCCAGCTCGCTGGCCCAGCGTCGAGATGGCTGCTAGGACGCTCGACATCTGCAGGGCCCAGGTGCTGGTGCGGTACCCCGACGAGGATCTGGAGTGGCACCGCCTCGTGTTGCTGCATACGGTCGAGGGCACCCTGGGGCTGGGCCTCACGCCTGATCATGAGATTGTGAGGGTAGACCTTGGCGTCATGCGACATCATGCGCAGGATCAGTCGTCAGCCTTCCCCACCCAGTTCGCGCCACTGGTGTACTCGTTCGACCCGGCCGATGGGCAGACGCTGCGAGATGGGAAGCGGCGGGCCCAGCGACGGGCTGCCCTCCTGGGCGGGGGGGAGGTCGAGGATGCCGAGGTGTGTGGGCGGTTGCTGGTGAGTGTCGCGGACGCTCGCTTTAGCGAAGCTGTGCCTGCCGACGTCGTCGAGGATGGCGGCAGGTGCGTGTCGTTTGACGACCGAGAGGTGTGCATGATCGACGGGGGGCCGCGCTTCGTGGAGCGAGTCCCTCGAGGAGAGTGGAGCAGTGGGGCGCAGTCGTGCCGTGAGGACGTCGAGGATATCCGCGTGCTGGGGGGCTACCGCTCGCGGGTTGGCCGTCGGGATCTGGACTTCAGGGATAGCGTCGAGTCCATGAGGGAGACGACCGTCGCAGACTGGCCCGATCGAGGGCCGCGAGCGTGTTCTGAGTACTCCAAGAGCAGCGCGCTGGGGGCGGGCAACCCGCTCACCTACCAAGCCGAGTGGCAGCGTCTCAGCGGAGTGGCCGATGGCGGTGTCCAGGGACATGGGCACCGCAGCCACCTCGGGACGCTGCTGTGGGCGATCTGCCTCGACCAGCCGAATGAGGTCAACTTGGCGTGTTTCGAGCGCGCCGCGCGCCGCCCCATCCAGGTCGAGATGGCCGTCGAGAAGAACCCGCGGCGCCCAGTCTTCAGCGGGCTAGAGGACGTGCTAGCTGGGCCGCGGTCGGTGAGCGACTCGGCCCGCGCGCCGCGGTACCTCGCGCGCGCCACCAACCGCCAGAAGGACCGCGCCCGCATCCTCATGCAGCTGGGGCTCTATCAGGAGGAGGCGTCGAGGCGGCAGAGTGTGAAGGGCGGCGGCAAGGGCGAGACAGGCGATGGTTTGCGGGCCAAGCAGAAGGCGAAGGCGAAGAGAGGGCCCCCCTCGGCTGGCGCCGAGGGAGAGGGGGGATGACTCCCTTCCGAGGCGGTGCCTGCGCAGGGGGCTTGGCCGAGCCAGGGGCCGGCGCGCGCCGCCGCCCAGAAGTCACCGCGCTGCCAAAGAAGTATTGGTGGCCAGACGGCCACTAGCTCCACAATGACCCCTTCCCGCTCCCCGTGCAGCACGAGGAGGGGCGGCCGACGGGGGCAGCCAGGTCCACGATGCGCAGATGGCGCCAACGGGCCAAGAAACAAGAGCGGGTTAGAGAGGCGGTTGAGGCCCTCAACCACCTCGCTGCTTCCAAGACGAATTCGATTGATGGCAAGGTTCATCGCGTGCGTCCACGGGGGGGACCGCCGACTGCGGTCCAGAGGAGTGCGCTGGCCCACGTGTTTGCTGGGATCAACGGCTATGGCGAGCCTTCTCGTGAAGCGACGGATGGCGAGTGGCCCCTTCGGGCGATCCTCAAGTCCGCCGACCAGTATTAGCTGGAGCCGCGGCACCTGGCGAGCTACGACACCGACAAGCTGCACGTCGCGTCCGGCGCGCTGCGGCCTGTCCCCGCGTCGGACTTGCCCCCAGTGGCTGCTGCAGGATATTTGAGACATTTCGAGAGCCAGGTGGAGCTGACCGCGCCGGAGCTGGAGGCCGGGCTACAGACCGCGGGGGGGCTCTCTACTCCTTACTGGGACCCCGCCCTCCGCGGAGATCGGTCAGCTCGTTGCGATTTTTTTTGCCGGCTGGCGGCGGCAGGTGTTGTGGGCTTCCGCCGGGCGATCAAGAGCCGCTGTGGAGACTTCTTCGTGCATAAGAACGATGGTCGTATTCGATTTTTTTGTGATGCTCGTCGGGCGAATCTTTGTCACCGACGGCCTCCGCGGACCGTGCTGGGCGGCCCCGCCTCCCTGAGCGAGCTGGACCTCAGCCCCCTCGCCGAGGCCCTCGGCGGCTACGGCGGGGCGCTGGAGCTGCCCCTCGACCTCCACGCGTCGAGCGCGGATGTGAAGGACTGCTTCTACCAGCTTGTGGTGGAGAGCATCGCGAGCTGGTTCGGCTTGGACTGCCCGCTGACCGTGGAGGAGTGGGGCCTGGAGATCTCCCACGTCTACGACGATGACCTCAAGGGGCCCACCCCAGTGGAGGCGGGTGAGTTGCTCTACCCCGTGATGCGGGGGCTGCCCATGGGGTAGTCATGGGCCCTCCACTTCGCGCAGGAGGCGGCCACCACGCTGGCCGAGCGCGGGTGTCCAGGAGGCAGCGAGCAGCTATTCCAGGACAAGCGCCCCGCCCCCCTCCTTCGGCCTGGACGCCCAGTCAGCGCCGTGTACGTGGACAACTTCACGGGCCTGGGCGGCTGCCAGGAGGACGCCGCCTTCGGAGTAAGGGGCTTCGAGAGGGCGGCCGCGGGCGCGGGGCTGAAGCTCCATGTGCCCGAGGTCGCTGTCGCCGAACTCGAGTCGCTGGGCCTCGTGATCCACGGGTCTGACAAGACGCTCAGGCATACGCCGCATCGAGTGTGGCGTTTCCACTTCGGGACCAAGGAGCTTCTCCGACGCGGGCGCTGTGCGCCCGCCGAGCTGCGGGCCTGGGCTGGGCACGCGGTCCACCTCTTCTCGCTGCAGCCACTGTTGCTCTCGATCCTGCAGGACGCGTACACCTTCATCGGGAACGGGATCGGCCCGCGGCGTCCTCTGCCCCGCGGAGTTCGGCTTGAGCTGCGCCTGGCCGCCGCGCTGGTCTTCTTAGGGGGCGTGAACCTCGCGGCCCCCTACGACGACGAGGTGCGCGTCTCAGACTCATCGACAGGCGGCTACTGCTTGATGTACGGGCGAAAGCCCGCTCGGGCGGTCCGTGGCGCCTGGCGATGGCGGGAGCGGTGGCGATTTGTGGAGGTCGAGGCGGAGTGTGACGGCGCCCACTACACCGGCGCCTACCTGGCACAGCTGCGGGGCCTCCCGGCAGATGACGGGCTAGAGGTCCCCAAGTTCGCAGCGCAGACGTGCAGTTGCGCGCTGGGCGGTCGACGGGCGATTGGTCCTCGACCGAGCTAGGCCAGCTCGCTTTCCGCAAGGTTGGCCAGACTCGGCGTCGCCAGGGCTGCAGCGCTGTGGGCGGCCGGCACCGACAAGAGGTCGAGCTCCTGAGCGTGGCCCCGAAGCTGCTGGTGGCGCTGACGCGCGACGAGGGCTGGCGGCGAGCGGTGGCCGGTCGGCGGCGTCACCCTGAGGAGCACGTCAACATCGAGGAGGCGAGGGCGTGTGTCATGGGGCTGCGCAGGAGCTGTCGGGGCCCTCGGCACCACGGCCATCGGGTTCTCTCGCTGCGCGACAACATGGTGACGTGCTGCTGCCTCGACAAGGGGCGGTCGACCTCCAGGGCGCTGAACACGCAGTGCCGCCAGGCCGCCGGCTACGCGCTGGGTTGCGGGATACGGCGGCGGGTCCGCCACGTCCCGACCGATCTATGCGTGGCCGACTACGGCTCGAGGCTGCACGAACCACCCGAGCCTCAGTGGCTGTGCGCGGCGAAGGCCCGCCGTCGGGTGGTGGCGCCCTGGGAGCCTGCGCGCCCCTCTCCAGCTCCCTCGACCCCTCCGAGTACGAGCTCAGAACCCACAGAGCACGAGCACGAGATTTCCCACATCCCCTCCTCCGCGTCTTCCAGGCGATCTATTCCAGCCGGCCTCCGCGCGCTGCGAGCCGAGACAGCTATCGAGCGCAGCGTCGGGGGCCGCTCAGCGCCGACCGAGGCCGGACATGCCCGCGAGTTGGAGTCGGCAAAAGTCTTCTTGGAGCTCTTCTCGGGCACTGGGGGCCTCAGCCAGGCGCTTGTATCTGCAGGCCTACGTGTGGGCTTCTCGTTCGACATCCGTAAGGGCGCTCAGTATGATCTATCTCGTCGGGCCACTCAGTTACTGGTTCTGAACTGGTTGCGACCTGGAAGAGTCCGGGGAATTCACTTGGGTACACCTTGTAGTTCCTGGAGTATAGCCAGAAAGGGCGTGAAAGACCTCAAGCGCGCCCGTGCTACGGAACGGTTGGGAGTAGAGTTTGCGTTGTTCACGAGCGAGGTGGTCCGTACTTGTCAGAGGTGCAACGTCCTGTGGTCCACCGAGAACCCTGCGTCGTCGGGGTTGTGGAGCTTCCCCCCAGTCGGGGGTCTGGCTGGGCTGGCCGGGGCTCGCTGGGTGAAGTTCCCGATGTGCGCCTACGGGGTCCCGCACCAGAAGTGGACGGCGCTGCTGATCAACTCGCCCACGCTGGCATCGCTGGCGGCGGAGTGCACACACACCTCCCGTCCTCACCTCTCGGGACGAGTCAAGGTTGCAGATGATCGGGGAAGGATCAGATGGGTCCGCCTGACGGAGCTGGCGGGCGCATATCCGTCGGCTCTCTGCTCGAGCTGGGCTGCGTGCCTGGCCAAGGCGGCCCCCGCCACGGCTTTCGGTGCCTCTCCGCCGTTCGTGGAGGCATGGGCCGGACGTCGTCGCGGCGCCGCTGAGGGCGATGCTCGGCCGGCTGACGCAGCAGCGGGCGGCGACGCGAGCTGTGCCCGAGCCGACCGCTACCTCGCGGAGCACGGTGTCCTCTTCGGGAACACCAGCGCGGTCGAGCGGGCGGCGCTCCGAGCTCGCGGAGACGCTCTCGACCCGCCAAGCTGGTAGCAGCCGGGCGCTGGCCCCCCGGCGACGGCGCGCGCCTGTCGCCGAGGTCGCCGCCCGGGCCCGCCACGCGACCGCCGCTGGCCGCTCGCGGACAGACTACATCGAGCTGGAGAGCGTGTCGGAGGTCGCCCTCACACTGTACAGGGTAGGAGTTGATGAGCTTGGGACTTGGAATCGGCTGAACGGGCGCCAAAACAACGTCCTGGTCAATGTAGATGCCACCCTCGTTAGCTGGATGACGGACTGCTACCTTCGGCTTCCGGAGGCGCTGGCGTTCGGGCCCAAGGGCGCGCTGGCCGGCTGCGCCGACGCCGGGGCGAAGTACGTTGTAAAGGTCATGCTCCGCCAGGCCCCGGGCGACCGCGGGCAGCCGACCAACGCAGGCATCTTCGACGACGTCGTGGAGGTCAGCGTGGCCGATCGAGACGGGACGAGGACGTGGCCGCCATGCTGGCCCGACGCACTGAGCCCAGCTGCCGTTTTCTCCACTTTTTTCATTGTCTTTATATGAAACGAGTTTCGGCCGCGCCTCGACGCACCTCGGCCTCTCTTCCTTGGGCGGATCGCCCCACTGACTGCGACGCTCTGGTCCTTCCATCGATCGTTCGGACCCCCGTGCCATTCAGAAAGGAGGCTGTTAGGCGGCCCCTGCATCTGTGCCCAGATACGAGAAATCTGCTGACCTGCTCAAGCATATGTCTGAACCGAGGTCAGTAGCGGAGCGCGAAGCGTGGGCCTCTCCGTTACCTCAGGCCCCTTTTCGCTTTCGCTCCGCCAATCGCGGAAGCCAGCGTCTTGCAAATTCGTGCCCAAAGCCGCGGCTCCCAGACCCAAAAGGGATTTCGGGGGCACGGGTGAGTGATCTCGCACCGCGGGCGCTCGAGGCGCCTCTTGAGTTTCAGAGTTTGCGAGGCGAGCGGATCGATCCAGCTGCATCCTTGACCTTGTCAGAGTCGGCGTCGCAGAGAGAGTCACTGTCGGCCGCGTGGCGGCCGCTCTTCTTGCATGAGAAAAAGAGAAGCTTCAGGGCTCTGGTAAAGCGGCTTAAGAGGGCCCCAGAATTGTTTTTTTTTGAAGATGTGTGTTCTTGGCCCTCGTTCCTAACGTACCGTTCTTGTCTACAGCACAGATGCGACCGTATCTGTTCTGGCTCAAGCTTCTCCTGCCTGCGTCCCCTCCACTTCTCTTGTAATATTTTCTGGGTGAGTGATCTCGCACCGTGGGCGCTCGAGGCGCCCTTTGAGTTTCAGAGTTTGCGAGGCGAGCGGATCGATCCAGCTGCATCCTTGACCTTTTCAGAGTCGGCGTCGCAGAGAGAGTCACTGTCGGCCGCGTGGCGGCCGCTCTTCTTGCATGAGAAAAAGAGAAGCTTCAGGGCTCTGGTAAAGCGGCTTAAGAGGGCCCCAGAATTGTAATTTTTAAGATGTGTGTTCTTGGCCCTCGTTCCTAACGTACCGTTCTTGTCTACAGCACAGATGCGACCGTATCTGTTCTGGCTCAAGCTTCTCCTGCCTGCGTCCCCTCCACTTCTCTTGTAATATTTTCTGGGTGAGTGATCTCGCACCGTGGGCGCTCGAGGCGCCCTTTGAGTTTCAGAATTTGCGAGGCGAGCGGATCGATCCAGCTGCATCCTTGACCTTTTCAGAGTCGGCGTCGCAGAGAGAGTCACTGTCGGCCGCGTGGCGGCCGCTCTTCTTGCATGAGAAAAAAGAACAGTTTCAGGGCTCTGGTAAAGCGGCTTCAGAGGCCCCCAGAATAATTATATATATATATATATATATGTGTATGCATGTATGCATGCATGCATGTATGTATGTATGTATGTATGTATGTATGTATGGGTATGGTATGTATGTATGTATGTATGTATGTATGTATGTATGTATGTATGTATGTATGTATATATGTATGTATGCATGCATGTATGTATGTATGTATGTATGTATGTATGTATATGTGAGAGAGAGATAGAGAGAAAGAGAGAGAGAGAGCGTGATCCACCGCCGCTTTATTGTGGACCATTCGCCCCCCTCTTCCTCCAGAGCCCGGGAGGGCCCCCCCCTCCGAAAATCCTTCCCCCCTGCTGGATCCCCTCCTTTCCTCCCCCCCGGCAAACCCCCCCCTCCCCCCCCACCCCGGAAAACCGGGGGGGGGTCATTACCGGTTCGAGCTACCCCCCCCCGGAAAACCGGGGGGGAGGGGACTACGTGTTCGAACCCCCCCCCCCCCCCAGAAAACCAGAGAGGGGTCACTACGTGTTCGAACCCCCTCCCCGCCCTCCGGAAAACCGGGGGGGAGGGTCACTACCAGTTCGGCCCGAGGGGTCACCACCGGCCCGAACCTCCCCCCCTCCCCCTCTCGAAAACTGGGGGGGGTCGCTACCGGTTCGAGCCCCCCCATCGCCCTTCGAAAACCAGGGGGGGGTCACTACCGGTTCGAACCATCCCCCCCCCCACGCTCACCGCCAGCACACAGCCCTCGATCCTTACCCCGTCCGCACCACATCCGCCACTGATGTCCCCAGCACCACTGTCCTCACCACCACTGTACCCGCTGTTCCCGCCGCCGTCACCACTGTCCTCACCAGCGCCCCCACCATTGTCGCATTGTCCCCAGTCCCCTCCACTGTTCCCACCACGGTTCGTTCCATTCTCCCCACTTTCTCCACGGCCCCAACCACTGTCCCACTGTCCCCACTGTCCCACTGTCCCCGCCGCTGTCCCACTGAGCTGTCTCACTGCTCCCACCACGGTTCCCACTGTCCCCCCACCATTGTCCCTACTGCACTTCTGTCCCATTATCCCACCGCCGTCCTCGCCACCGCCCTCACCACTGTCGCCACCACCACTGTGCCCTCCATTGTCCCACTGTTTCAACCACATTCCCATTGTCCCCACACCGTTGTCCCCACCACAACTGTCCCCACCATTGTCCCACTATCCCCACTGTTCCCACCATTGTCCCCGCTGTCCCAACCAGTGCCCCCCACCAGTGTCTCACTGTGCCCACTCTCCCCACCATTGTCCCACCACGGTCCCATTCTCCCCACTTTTCCTCACGGTCCCCACCAGTGTTCCACTGTCCCCACTGTTCCTACCACTGTCCCACTGTCCCACTGTCCCTGCCGCTGTCCCACTGTGCTGTCCCACCGTCCCCACTGTCCCCATCACTATCCCCACTGTCCCCACCACTCTCCCCACTGTACCAATGTCCCACCACCGCCTTCACCACTGTCCCCACCACTACCGTCCCCGCCTTTGTCCCACTGTCCCCGCTACCTTCCCGCTGTCCCCTCACCACTGTCCCCACCACCACCGTCCCCACCACTGTCCGCACCACTGTCCCACTGTCCCCGCACCACTGTCCCCACCACCACCGTTCCCACCACTGTCCCAACATCCCCGCCATTCTCCAGCTGTCCCGAGGAGCGGGCATCGTTTGTCGGTTCGAACCGGTAGTGACCCCCCCCCCCGTTTTCGAGGGGGGGGAGTTCGAACCGGTAGTGACCCCCCGCCCTTTTCATAATGGACTGGGGGGAGGGAGGGGGGTTCGAACCGGTAGTGCCCCACCCCCGGGTTTTCGAGGGGGAGGGGACGGGTCAGGAACCCCCAGTGACCCCCAGGAACCGCCAGCAGCGGTAGAACACGCTCTTTCTTTTTAAATATATTAATACATAAACAAGTACATACATGTATGTATGTATATATATGTATGTATGTATGTATGTATGTATGTATGTATGTATGTATGTATGTATGTATGTATGTATGTATGTATGTATGTATGTATGATGTATGTATGTATGTATGTATGTATGTATGTATGTATGTATGTATGTATGTATGTATGTATGTATGTATGTATGTATGCATGCATGCATGCATGCATGCATGCATGCATGCATGCATGATGATGTATGTATGTATGTATGTATGTATGTATGTATGTATGTATGCATGCATGCATGCATGCATGTATGTATGTATGTATGTATGTATGTATGTATGTATGTATGTATGTATGTATGTATGTATGTATGTATGTATGTATCCGGTACAGGGCCAGGGGCCTGCTCCCAGGTGCCTTGGGTCGCCATGGGGGCTCCGGGCTCTTCGGGCACCCTCTTCAGCGGCCCGAGAGACGCCCAGGCGGCCTTGAGTGGCGTCACTGTGACACCAGAAGGCTTAGAGATGTCCCGCGGAGTTTCCTGGCAGCCCCAGATAGCTTCAAGACGGCCCAGGGTTCGACGAGCGCTCCCCAGAAGGCCCCAAGAGACAGAAGCCATTGATGGTTCAACAGATTTGTCAATGCTTGAGGGAACTCTCGATTTTCGAGCTTCCGACGCTCCACGACGTCCCAAAAAGCTTCCAAGACCGCCCAAAAACGGCCCAAGAGACCCCCAAGACCGCCCCAAGACTGGCCAAGAGGGTCGGGTCCCAAGACGGTCCCAAGAAGGGCCCAAGACGGCCCAAGAGGACCCCAAGACGGCTTCAAGAGGGGCCCACGAACAGGAGCCCGAAAGGACAATTCGAGCGTTCCGTCCTAAGATGCCCCCAGACGGCCCAAGAGGGCTCGCCGAGCGCTCCCTTGAGGGCCCCAAAAGGCAAAAACCAGTAATTTTTGATGGTTGTTCAATGCTTTCGGGCCTCTCGAGTATTTCCAGCTTCCAGCGCTCCACGACGTCCCAAGAGGACCCCAAGACCGTCCCGAGACGAACCGCCAAGAATGCGCCCAAAGACGGCTCCCAAGAGGCCCTAGAGGCGCCCACGACGGTCCCAAGATGGTCCCAAGAGGGGCCCGCACGCAGGAACCCGAAGCAACACTTCGAGTCGTCCGTCCAAGATGCCCCCAGACGGCCCTAGAGGACTCAATGAGCGTTCCCTAAATGGCCGCAAGAGGCAAAACCTAATGATTTCCCTTGGGTTTTTCCCTACCTAGGCTCTGCCTAGAAGGGTTCTTACTTTCTGGCTTAAAGGGGCCGGGCAGTGCAAATCGCCCCGGGCGGTTCCCCCGGTCCCCTGGGAGCGGTTCCCCCAGTCCCTTGGGAGCTTTAGCTTTAGCTTAGCTTTAGCTTAGCTATAGCTTAACTTTAGCTTAGCTTTAGTTTAGCTTTAAGTTAGCGTTCGCTTAGCTTTAGCTTAGCTTTAGCTTAGATTTAGTTTAGCGTTAGCTTAGCTTCAGCTTAGCTTTAGCTTAGCTTTACCTTAGCTGTACCTTAGCTTTACCTTAGCGTTACCTTAGCGTTACCTCAACTTTAGCTGAGCTTTAGCTTAGATTTAGCCTAGTTTTAGCTTAGCTTTAACTTAGCTTCAGCTTAGATTTAGCTTAGCTTTAGCTTAGCTTTAGTTTAGCGTTAGCGTAGCTTCAGCTTAGCTTTAGCTTAGCTTTAGCTTAGCTTTAGCTTAGCTTTAGCTTAGCTTTAGCTTAGCTTTAGC